TTGTCCCACTGTAAACCCCTGGCCCTGCTGTCCTGGTGCCCCCCTTTGTCCCGCTGTAAACCCATGGCCCTGCTCTCGGGGTGCCCCCCTTTGTCCCACTGTAAACCCATGGCCCTGCTCTCGGGGTGCCCCCCTTTGTCCCACTGTAAACCCATGGCCCTGCTCTCGGGGTGCCCCCCTTTGTCCCACTGTAAACCCATGGCCCTGCTCTCGGGGTGCCCCCCTTTGTCCCACTGTAAACCCATGGCCCTGCTGTCCTGGTGCCCCCCTTTGTCCCACTGTAAACCCATGGCCCTGCTCTCGGTGCCCCCTTTGTCCCACTGTAAACCCATGGCCCTGCTCTCGGGGTGCCCCCCTTTGTCCCACTGTAAACCCATGGCCCTGCTCTCGGGTGCCCCCCTTTGTCCCACTGTAAACCCATGGCCCTGCTCGGGGTGCCCCCCTTTGTCCCACTGTAAACCCATGGCCCTGCTCTCGGGGTGCCCCCCTTTGTCCCGCTGTAAACCCATGGCCCTGCTCTCGGGGTGCCCCCCTTTGTCCCGCTGTAAACCCATGGCCCTGCTCTCGGGGTGCCCCCCTTTGTCCCACTGTAAACCCATGGCCCTGCTCTCGGGGTGCCCGGTGGCCGTGGCTGATGCGGGGCCGCAGCGGGGGGCTCAGCAATCTGCTCTACAAGTGCTGGCTGCCAGAGCGAGTGCTCAGCGTGGGGGACGAGCCACGGCAGGTCCTGCTGCGCATCTATGGGGCCATCCTGCAGGTCAGCACCCCCTTGACCCCCCAGCATCCCCTGGGAACCCCCTTACCTCATGGGAACCCCAGTATCCCCCCAGCATCTCTGACACCCCCCAGCTCTCCCCAGCACACACAATCACCCCTCAGCACCCCCATACTCCCATCACTCCCTGGTACCCCCAGTACCGCACATACCCCCAGTATCCCTCAGGCTCCCACCACCACCCCCCAGCTCTCCCCATCACACACAATCACCCCTCAGCATCCCCAGCACCCCCCATACTCCCATTACTCCCAGGTACCCCCAGTATCCCTCAGGCTCCCCCCAGCATCTCTGACACCCCCCCAGCTCTCCCCACCACACACAATCACCCCTCAGCATCCCCAGCACCCCCATACTCCCATCACTCCCTGGTACCCCCAGTACCGCACATACCCCCAGTATCCCTCAGGCTCCCCCCACCACCCCCCAGCTCTCCCCACCACACACAATCACCCCTCAGCATCCCCAGCACCCCCATACTCCCATCACTCCCTGGTACCCCCAGTACCGCACATACCCCCAGTATCCCTCAGGCTCCCCCCACCACCCCCCAGCTCTCCCCATCACACACAATCACCCCTCAGCATCCCCAGCACCCCCATGCTCCCATCACTCCCTGGTACCCCCAGTATCCCTCAGCCTCCCCCATCAGTCCCCAGCATCTCCAGAACCCCTCTGGCACTCCCAGTACCCCCATTCACCCCCATACCCTGCAGACCCCCCGAACCCCCCACCCTCTAGCGCCTCCTCCTCCCGCTGTGCAGGGCCTGGACTCGCTGGTGCTGCAGAGCGTGATGTTTGCTGTGCTGGCGGAGCGGGCGCTGGGGCCGCGGCTCTTGGGCGTGTTCCCGGAGGGGCGGCTGGAGCAGTACATCCCGGTACGGACCGGGGGGGCTCGGCCCTGCCTGACACCCCCCCGGCGCCACCACCCTGATGAACCCCCCCCAGAGCCGGCGCCTGCGCACTGAGGACCTGCGGGACCCCCACATCTCCGGGGAGATCGCGGTGAAGATGTCCCGGTTCCACGGCATGGTGATGCCCTTCAACAAGGAGCCCAAGTGGCTCTTTGGGACCATGGAGTGGTGAGGGGGGCGCCGGGCGAGGGATCCCCGGTGGCCCTGGCTCTGTGCTGGGGATGCAGCACCCGGGGGCATCCCTCCAAGCGCCAGCACCGCGCCTGTCTCGCCCCCTGCAGGTACCTGAGGCAGATCTCGGAGCTCAGCTTCCCCCAGGCCGAGCAGCTCAGGAGGTTCGAGCAGCTCCGGGCGTACAACCTGGAGGCAGAGCTGAGGAGCCTCCGGTGAGCGGCACCGCGCTGGGCCTGGCTCCTGCTGAGCTCCTCACAGGAGCCAGGGGGAACCCGGCTGCTCTGGACCTGCTCTCTTCCATCCCGTGCCCCTGGGGGATGTCACCATGGGGCAGCTCTTGGAAGGGGCCCCACATCCCTGGGGCAGGGTCTCTGCCATGTTAGCTCTGAGGCAGGAGCTCTTCCCTGTGAGGGTGCTGAGGCGCTGGCACAGGGTGCCCAGAGAAGCTGTGGCTGCCCCATCCCTGGCAGTGCTCAAGGCCAGGTTGGACACAGGGGCTTGGAGCAAGCTGCTCCAGTGGAAGGGGTCCCTGCCTGTTGCACGGTGCTGAAACTGGATGAGCTTTAAGGTCCCTTCCAACCCAAACCATTCCATGGTTCTATGCTCCTGAAGCGTGGATCCCAGCTGTGTCCATAGCTCTGTCCACCCACATGCAGTGGTGACACTGGTGGTGACACTGGTGACCCCCATGTCCCTGTGGCTTTCTGAGGTGTCCTCCCCATTCTCATCCCCAGGGACCTGCTGGAGGCCACCCCTTCGCCCGTGGTCTTCTGCCACAACGATGTGCAGGAGGGTGAGTGGCTGTGGCTCCCCCCAGCTCCAGCGTTCCTGCTGGGACACCCCCAGACCCCATCTCCCCACAGGGAACGTGCTGCTGCTGGCTGGGCGTGAGGCCTCCTCCTCTGATAAGCTGATGCTCATTGACTTCGAGTACAGCAGCTACAACTACCGGTGCGTTGGGGCACTACCCTGTGGCCTTCCCAGTGTTCCCAGTCTGCTGAGGCCGGGACTGGGCTCATCTGGACCCTTCCACAGGGGCTTCGACATCGGGAACCACTTCTGCGAGTGGACCTATGACTACACACACCATTCCTGGCCCTTCTTCAAGGCTACCCCAGAGAACTACCCCAGCCGGGAGCAGCAGGTAGGGCTGGGGGGCATCGGATGCATCCCACACCAATGGAATGAGCCAATGGGATGGGGTTCAATGAGGCTCCTGCACTTGGGTCACAGCAACCCCATGGAGCGCTGCGGGCTTGGGAAGAGCGGCTGGAAACTGCTCATGGGAAAGGAGCTGGGTGCTGAGGGATGGAGCTGAGCATGAGCAGCTTGTGCCCAGGGAGCCCCCAGCATCCTGGCCTGGACCAGCACCAGTGCGGCAGCAGGGCCAGGGCAGGGATTGTGCCCCTGTGCTGGGCACTGGTGAGGCCGCACCTCAGATCCTGTGTTCAGCTCTGGGCCCCTCACTGCAAGAGAGACATTGAGGGGCTGGAGCGGGGCCAGAGAAGGGAATGGAGCTGGAGCAGGGCCTGGAGCACAGGGGAGATGGGGAAGGGCTGAGGGACCTGGGGGGTTCAGATGGAGAAGAGAAGGCTCAGGGGGGACCTGATGGCTGCCTCCAAGTGCCTGAGAGGAGGATGGAGCCAGGAGGGGCTGGGCTCTGCTCCCAAGGAACAAGGGATGGGACAAGAGGAACCGGCCTCAAGCTGCACCAGGGCAGGGTTAGATGGAGCTGAGGAACAATTCCTGCCCCAGAGGGTGCTCAGGCATTGGAACAGGCTGCCCAGGGCAGGGCTGCAGGCACCGGCCCTGCAAGGGTTCACACACCCTCAGTGCCATGGGGCAGTGGTGCCCTTGGCAGTACTGGGGTAAGGTTGGACTGGGTGAGCTTGAAGCTGTTTTCCACCCCTGTTGATCCCATGATCCCACGCTTCCCCCCCTCCATGGCCCCACTCTTCCATCCCACAGCTCCATTTCATCCGTTGCTACCTCTCGGAGGCCCCGGGCCACCCCAGGGATGCGGCACCCGAGGAGCAGGCGCGCATCGAGCAGGAGATGCTCACTGAGATCCACCGGTGCGTGAGGGCACAGGACCCCCCTCAGCCCCACACCGTGCCCCATGGGGTGTGTGGGGCAGGGCAGGGGTCACTGCTGCTCTCCCGCAGGTTCGTTTTGGCCTCTCACTTCTTCTGGGGGCTGTGGTCCATCCTGCAGGCCAAGATCTCCACCATCGAGTTCGGGTACCTGGTGAGCACTGCCTGGGGCTCCCTCCCGCAGTGTGGGGTGTCGGGGGGGGGCACAGCCCTGACCCTCTCCTGTCCCCCCAGGACTATGCTCAGAGCCGCTTCGAGGCCTATTTCCAGCACAAGGAGCAGTGCTGAGCGCCCACCACGTGCCCCCCACTTGCAGCCTGTCCTGTCCCCCCGCCATGGCCCTCCCCACACCTCTAGGGCTGGTGCAGGGGCTGCACTGGGACCAGGGGCTGCCACTCCTGCCTCCCTCCGACAGCAGAATGTGACTTGGACCAATAAACACGGTGATGATGGTGATGATGGTGGTGATGGATGTGATGGTGGTGATGGAGGTGATGGTGGTGATGGTGGTGATGGATGTGATGGTGGTGATGGATGTGATGGATGTGATGGTGGTGATGGTGGTGATGGTGATGATGGAGGTGATGGATGTGATGGTGGTGATGGATGTGATGGATGTGATGGTGGTGATGGTGGTGATGGTGGTGATGGTGATGGAAGTGATGGTGGTAATGGTGGTGATGGATGTGGTGGTGGTGGTGGTGGTGGTGATGGTGGTGATGGATGCTCGAGGATGCGGGTCCCTGCTCGAGGATGCAGGTCCCTGGTTGGGGATGCGGGTCCCTCTCGGGATGCGGGTCTGTGCTCGAAGATGCGGGTCCCTGCTCGAGGATGCGGGTCCCTGCTCGAGGATGGTTTCCCCCGGGGGTTCTGCATCTTTGGGGTGCCGGTTCCCCGCCTCGGTTCCCCCGGTGGAAGCGGCTCTGTGCTGGGGTCCCGCTCCCCCCCATGCGGGTCTCTCCCGGGGTATCCGGTGTCGCTGCTGTCGGTTCCTGACCGCCCGCTGCGGATCCCCCTCGGGCCGCGCGGGTCCCCCCCGTGCCCGCTCCCCGGGGCGGTGCCGCCGCCCGCTCCCGCCCCGCCGGTGTCCGGTTACCGGGGACCCGCCAGCCCGGGGCTGTCGCGCGCCCGCGCCCCGCAGCAGGTACCGAGCCCGGGGGGGTCCCCGTGGGGAACACGGCCGGGGGGGGAGGGGAGGGGGGGCCCGGACCCGGACCCGGTGTGTGCGGGGGGAGCGCCGCGAGGCCCCCGGTCCCGGTGACCTTGTGCGGGGTGAGGGGGTCACCCCTGCGGTGCCGCCCTGTGCAGTGCATGCAGCCGGGGCAGTGAGGGGGTCACTGTGCGGTGCCGCCCTGTGCAGTGCATGCAGCCGGGGCAGTGAGGGGGTCACCCCTGCGGTGCCGTCCTGTGCAGTGCATGCAGCCGGGGCAGTGAGGGGGTCACCCCTGCGGTGCCGTCCTGTGCAGTGCATGCAGCAGGCTGCCGTGCTGAGCCGTGCAGTGCGCTGCACTCGAGGGCAGGGTGATGTGGTTCAGCGCGGTGCAGTGGGTGCAGTGTGACACAGTGAGGCGCAGAGCAGTAATCGGTACCAGTTAATGGGTGGTAGTGCAGTGCAGTGTAATGCACACAGTGCAGTGCAGTGTGCCTGTGCAGCTGTGCAGTGTGCTTCAGTGCAGTGCACTGGAGCTGCTCGGTGCAGTCCGTGCAGTTTAAGCAGTGCAGTGCAGTGTAACTGTGCAGTGAAGTGGCCCCCTGGCTCCATGGTCCCCTGCAGGGGATAGGGTGTGCTGTGTGCAGTGTGCATTGTGCCATGTTCCAGTGCAGGGGACAGTGTATGCAGTGTGCAGTGTGCCATGTCCCGGTGCAGTGTGCCCTGTGCAGTGTGCAGTGTGCCATGTCCCGGTGCAGGGGACAGCGTGTTCAGTGTGCCCTGTGCAGTGTGCAATGTGCCCTGTGCCCCGTGCAGTGTGCAGTGTGCCCTGTGCAGTGTGAGGCTGCTGGCTCTGGGGCTGGTGCTGCCTTGTCCTTGCTGTGGGCAGGGCCCGGGCAGCTCCCTGTGAGTGAGGGGTGTGTGGGGGGGGTTGTCCCTGTGCCCCTCTGTGTGTCGGTGTATGTGTGTCCCTATGGCCCTATGTGTGTCCCTATGTGTGTCCCTCCTTGTGTCCCTATGTCCCTGTGTGTGTCCCTATGTGTGTCCCTGTGTGTGTCCCTATGTCCCTCCATGTGTCCCTATGGCCCATGTGTCCCCCTCTGTGTGTCCCTCCGTGTGTCCCCATGTCCCACGTGTGTCCCAGTGTTCCTTTACCCATGTGCTTGTGCCGCTGCCGCAGCCGCTGCCATCTCTGACCCTTCCCTCAGTGGGCCCTCGGCCAAGCCCGTGTGACCGCGGCACCGGAGCCAACCGGGGCCTGCACCGGGGGGGCACTGGGGATGTCCCCGTGGGCCCATGTGGGGCCAGGCCTGGAGGGGGGGGGGGAGCTGGGGGCATCCCCATGTGGGGCTGGGCTCATGGGTCTGGCCTGTGCTGTGGGGTGGGGGAGTGTGGGGCTGTGCCCATAGGGCTGCAGGGTGTTGGGTGGGGTTGCCTGGGGCTGGGATGTGTGGGGTGGGACCCCCCGGGATGTCCGTAGGTGGGGCTGGGCCCATGGGGCTGTGCCTACGGGGTGGGATACACAGGGCTGGGATGTGTGGGGTGGGTCCCCCCGGGATGTCCGTAGGTGGGGCTGGGCCCATGGGGCTGTGCCTATGGGGTGGGATACACAGGGCTGGGATGTGTGGGGTGGGACCATCAGAGCTGTCCCCAAGTGAGGCTGTGCCCATGGGGCTGGGATGTGTGGGGTGGGCTGCGTGCGGGTCCACGTGTGCGGGTCCATGTGTGCGGGTCCACGCGTGCGGGTCCTTGCGTGCGGGTCCATGCATGCGGGTCCATGGGTGCAGGTCCATGGGTGCAGGTCCATGTGTGCGGGTCCACCTGTGCGGGTCCATGCATGTGGGTCCATGTGTGTGTCTCCACGTGTGCGGGTCCATGCGTGTGGGTCCACACGTGCGGGTCCATGTGTGTGGATCCACATGTGTGGATCCATGTGTGCGGGTCCATGTATGTGGGTCCATGTGTGCGGGTCCACGCGTGCGGGTCCATGTGTGTGGATCCACATGTGTGGATCCATGTGTGCGGGTCCATATCTGTGTGTCCACGTGTGTGGGTCCACGTGTGCGGATCCATGTGTGCGGATCCATGCGTGCAGGTCCATGCGTGCGGGTCCATGCGTGCGGGTCCATGCGTGCGGGTCCATGCGTGTGGGTCCACGTGTGTGGATCCATGTGTGTGTGGGTCCATGTGTGCGGGTCCATGCGCGCAGGTCCATATGTGCAGATCCACGTGTTCGGATCGTATGGGGGTCCATGTGTGCAGGTCCATATGTGTGTGTCCACGTGTACGGGTCCATGCGTGCAGGTCCATGCGCGTTGGTCCATGTGTGTGTGTCCACGCGTGCGGGTTCACGTGCGCGTCCCCCCGTGCGCGTCCCCGTGCCCATGTGCCGCGCTCCTGCCGCAGGCGCCATGGCGGAAGCCCACCAGGCCGTCGCGTTCCAGTTCACGGTCACGCCCGAGGGCGTTGACCTGCGGCTGAGCCACGAGGCCGTGCGGCAGCTCTGCCTCTCGGCCGCACACGCGTGGAAGAAGCGCCTCGTGCAGGCCAAGGTGCGACCCTCACACCCCCATCACCTCACACCCCCTTCGTCACCCCCATCGTCAGCCCCATCGTCACCATCATCGTCACCCCCATCATCACCCCCATTGTCACCCCATCATCACCCCTATCATAACCCCTGTCGTCACCCCTATCATCACCCCATCGTCACCCCATCGTCACCCCATCGTCACCCCTATCGTCACCCTATCGTCACCCTATCGTCACCCTATCGTCACCCCTATCATCACCCCATCGTCACCCCATCGTCACCCCATCGTCACCCCATCGTCACCCCTATCGTCACCCTGTCACCCCTATTGTCACCCCACTGTCACCCCTATCGTCAACCCGTCGTCACCCCTATCGTCACCCCCATCGTCACCCCTATCATCACCCCTATTGTCACCCCATCATCACCCCTATTGTCACCCTGTTGTCACCCCTATCGTCACCCCTATCATCACCCCGTCATCACCCCCATCGTCACCCCATCGTCACCCCTATCATCACCCCATCATCGCCCCCATCATCACCCCATCGTCACCCCATCATCACCTCTATCGTCACCCCATCGTCACCCCTATCATCACCCCATCATCACCCCCATCATCACCCCATCATCACCCCATCGTCACCCCTATCGTCACTCCATCATCACCCCCATCATCACCCCTATCGTCACCCCATCATCATCCCCCATTGTCACCCCATCATCACCTTTATTGTCACCCCATCATCACCTCCATCATCACACCATCATCACCCCCATCGTCACCCCATTGTCACCCCATCGTCACCCCAATCGTCATCATCAGCCCATCACCCCCATCACCCTGACACCCTGTCACTTAACACCCCGTCACCCCCAACACCCCATCATCCCGACACCCAATCACTCCAATACCCTGACACCCCATCCCCTCGCCCCTATCACCCCCATCCCCATTACCCCATCCCCCCGTTGTCACCCCCACTGTCACCCGGTCACCGCTGCCCTGTGCCCATAGAACACGTTCCTGAGCGGGGTGTACCCGGCCTCCCCATCCAGCTGGGTGCTCGTCGTCATGGCAACCGCTGGCTCCGTCTACTGCCGGGTGGACCCTTCCCGGGGCCTCATCACCCGCATCCAGCACTACCTGCCCCAGAGGTGACAGCGGGGACATGGAGGGACATGGGGTGACACAGGGGGACATGGAAGGACATGGGGTGACACGGGGGGGACATGGAGGGACATGGGGTGACACAGGGGGACATGGAGGGACATGAGGACATGGGGTGACACAGGGGGACATGGAGGGACATGGGGTGACACAGGGGGACATGGAGGGACATGGGGTGACACAGGGGGACATGGAGGGACATGAGGACATGGGGTGACACAGAGGGACATGGAGGGACATGAGGACATGGGATGACACGGGGACATGGAGCTCTGGACATAAGGGACATGGAGGGACATGAGGACATGGGATGACACGGGGACATGGAGGGACATGAGGACATGGGATGACACAGGGGGACATGGAAGGACATGAGGACATGGGATGACACAGAGGGACATGGAGGGACATGAGGACATGGGATGACACAGGGGGACATGGAGGGACATGGGATGACACAGAGGGACATGGAGGGACATGAGGACATGGGATGACACAGAGGGACATGGAGGGACATGAGGACATGGGATGACACAGGGGGACATGGAGGGACATGAGGACATGGGGTGACACAGGGGGACATGGAGGGACATGAGGACATGGGGTGACACAGGGGGACATGGAGGACATGAGGACATGGGGTGACACAGGGGGACATGGAAGGACATGAGGACATGGGGTGACACAGGGGGACATGGAGGGACATGAGGACATGGGGTGACACAGAGGGACATGGAGGGACATGAGGACATGGGATGACACAGGGGGACATGGAGGGACATGAGGACATGGGGTGACACAGGGGGACATGGAAGGACATGACATGGGGTGACACAGGGGGACATGGAGGGACATGAGGACATGGGGTGACACAGGGGGACATGGAGGGACATGAGGACATGGGGTGACGGGGGACATGGAGGGACATGAGGACATGGGGTGACACAGGGGGACATGGAGGGACATGAGGACATGGGGTGACACAGAGGGACATGGAGGGACATGAGGACATGGGGTGACACAGGGGGACATGGAGGGACATGAGGACATGGGATGACACAGAGGGACATGGAGGGACATGAGGACATGGGGTGACACAGAGGGACATGGAGGGACATGAGGACATGGGGTGACACAGAGGGACATGGAGGGACATGAGGACATGGGATGACACAGGGGGACATGGAGGGACATGAGGACATGGGATGACACGGGGACATGGAGGGACATGAGGACATGGGATGACACAGGGGGACATGGAGGGACATGGCAGGGGACAAGGGGGGATGCGGGCACACAAGGACATGGGGGGACAGAGGGGGTGCAGAGAGACATGGGAGGAGCCCCCCACCCCCCGTGGAGCCCATTGGGCACCATGGACCCCCCTGCATGTCCCCATCCCCCTGCGTGCTCCCCGGGGCCCAGCCCCACACACCCCCCCTGCAGCTCACCCCCATGGGTGCTCGGGGCCCCCCCGGCTCAGCCCCATGAGGCTCCCCCATGTGCCGTGTCCCTGCAGCCGGTTCCTGGGCCCCCGCGGGCAGGAGGTGCTGAGCGCGGCGCTGGTCGGCACCGGGCTGTGGCTGGGCACGGTGCTGCTGTTCCGCCGCGCCCTGCGCCTGCTCCTCACCTACCATGGGTGGATGTTCGAGCCCCACGGCCGCCTCAGCCGCCGCACCCGCGTCTGGATGGTCAGGGCATGCAGGGCATGCAGGGGATGGTGTGGGGTGTGGTGGGGTGGTGTGGGGTGGGATGGGATGGGATGGGATGGGATGGGATGGGATGGGATGGGGTGGGATGGGATGGAATGGGATGGGGTGGAATGGGATGGGATGGGATGGGGTGGAATGGGATGGGATGGGATGGGATGGGGTGGAATGGGATGGGATGGGATGGGATGGGATGGGATGGGATGGGATGGGATGGGGTGGGGTGGGATGGGATGGGATGGGATGGGATGGGATGGGGTGGGATGCAGGGATGGGATGGGATGGGGTGGGATGGGTGCCTCATGGCCTCTCCATGCCCCTTCCCTGGCTCCGTGTCCCTGCAGGTGATGATGAAGGTGTTGGCTTTCCGCAAGCCGCTGCTCTACAGCTTCCAGACCTCACTGCCCAAACTGCCTGTGCCCCCTGTGCAGGCCACCATCACCCGTGTGAGGGGGGGGGGGGTCTGTGATGGCATGGGATGGAATGAGATGGGGATGGGGTGGGTGGGGGTTGATGGTGGGATAGGATGGGATTGGGGAGTCTATGATAGGATGGGGATGGAGGGTCTATGATGGGATGGGGATGGAGGGTCTATGATGGGATGGGGATGGAGGGTCTATGATGGGATGGGGATGGAGGGTCTATGATGGGATGTGGGATCTATGATGGGCTGGGGGCTCTGTGGTGGGACAGTGGGTCTGTGATGACATGGGATGGAATGAGATGGGGATAGGGTGGGTGGGGGTTGATGGTGGGATAGGATGGGATTGGGGAGTCTATGATGGGATGGGGATGGAGGGTCTATGATGGCATAGGGATGGAGGGTCTATGATGGGATGTGGGATCTCTGATGGGCTGGGGGCTCTGTGGTGGCATGGTGGGTCTATGATGACATGGGATGGAATGAGATGGGGATGGAATGAGACAGGGATAGGATGGAATGGATGGAGATGGGGTGGATGGCATGGGATGGGATGGGGCTGGGATGTGTTTGGGGTCACCCGAGCCCCGTTCTGCAGTACCTGGAGTCGGTGCGGCCGCTGATGGACGATGAGAAGTACAAGGAGATGGAGACCTTGGCCAAGGAGTTCAAGGAGACGATAGCACCGCGCCTGCAGAAGTACCTGATCCTCAAGTCCTGGTGGACCACCAACTACGTGAGCCATCCGTCACCCTAACCCTAACCCTAACCCTAACCCCATCCCTAACCCCATCTCCATCTGCATCCCATCTCTGCCCCCTTCCCCGCACCATCCTATTCGCATCCTTATCCCATTGCCAGCCCCATCTCCATCTGCATCCCATCTCTGTCCCCTTCCCCGCACCATCCTATTCGCATCCTTACCGATTGCCAACCCCATCTCCATCTGCATCCCATCTCTGTCCCCTTCCCCGCACCATCCTATTCGCATCCTTATCCCATTGCCAACCCCATCTCCATCTGCATCCCATCTCTGTCCCCTTCCCCGCACCATCCTATTCGCATCCTTATCCCATTGCCAACCCCATCTCCATCTGCATCCCATCTCTGCCCCCTTCCCCGCACCATCCTATTCCCATCCTTATCCCATTGCCAGCCCCATCTCCATCTGCATCCCATCTCTGCCCCCTTCCCCGCACCATCCTATTGACATCCTTATCCCATTGCCAACCCCATCTCCATCTGCATCCCATCTCTGTCCCCTTCCCCGCACCATCCTATTCGCATCCTTATCCCATTGCCAACCCCATCTCCATCTGCATCCCATCTCTGTCCCCTTCCCCGCACCATCCTATTCGCATCCTTATCCATTGCCAACCCCATCTCCATCTGCATCCATCTCTGCCCCCTTCCCCGCACCATCCTATTCGCATCCTTATCCCATTGCCAACCCCATCTCCATCTGCATCCCATCTCTGCCCCCTTCCCCGCACCATCCTATTGACATCCTTATCCCATTGCCAACCCCATCTCCATCTGCATCCCATCTCTGCCCCCTTCCCCGCACCATCCTATTCGCATCCTTATCCCATTGCCAGCCCCATCTCCATCTGCATCCCATCTCTGTCCCCTTCCCCGCACCATCCTATTGACATCCTTATCCCATTGCCAACCCCATCTCCATCTGCATCCCATCTCTGCCCCCTTCCCCGCACCATCCTATTCGCATCCTTATCCCATTGCCAACCCCATCTCCATCTGCATCCCATCTCTGCCCCCTTCCCCGCACCATCCTATTCCCATCCTTATCCCATTGCCAGCCCCATCTCCATCTGCATCCCAT